GACCTGAGAGAGAAGCAAAATATGAGTATAAATGTAACGTCAGCGTAAATGCTTCGATACACGCAAAACTCTCTTCCCTACCCTTGACAGGAACAAACCACCAATCTCTATTCGAGGTGCTGCATCACCCTTCCCTGCACCTCACACCACTTGTTTCAGTCGCCGACTCCACAAACTGTTCTATGCTCCATCGCCTCGTTTGCCTCAGATTGCTGTTCCACGTTACCTAATAACCTAATGCTACAAAAGGTCAAACCCGTCCATAATGTCTCACAATTGTTTATAAACCTGCAACTGGACAGCACTCGTTTCCTGCTTATAAGGAGACTTATCAGCCCTTAGATGAGGTTAACACGCTCGACATGTCTCCTCGGCTGCTTGAAGCTACGACGACAGCGACGTCGCTCCAGTCGCAGCTCTTTCAAGGCCTCTCCTCAAATATATATATGAGACTGTCATTGACAAGAGCTCCGGAGAGATAACTAGTTATTACGAGAAGCAAGTGATAAGTGTAAAAACCGCTTCAGAGCTTCGAGTTTTCAGTACTTTCTGGATCAGTCCTGATCATCATCGGCTGTTATTTTAAGTTGCTTTCTAGCGTTTCACCACGCCCCTTATTGGTCCAGTTGATATTTAAATTCTGTTACTCCCATCTTACTACCAGTTACAAATTCGTTTCTTCATCTGGTTAATTGCCTGTTCTTTGTTTAAATTTTCTTTTATTTGGCCTCTATTTTCTTACCTGTTGTATTACCAGAGTCCCATGGTTGCCCCATAACAGGTTCAGCGTAGTACTACTTATACAAAACAATAACTCTTTATTATCAAAAAGAAAAGACTAAGACTCCGATAGTCGCAGGCCCTTCCGCAGCAAAATTCCAACATATACCATCTTCCAATATTGATATTTCGTAAAAAATTGTACTCAAAAAATGCATTTTTTTGAACAATTTTTAAAATGAAGCACGTTAGGTACAACTTCTTAAAATTCTTTTTGCTTTAATCTTTCATCAAAATTGTTGATGCACGCTTTCCACTACTTTCCTAAGTCTGCATAGAACAAATAACTAAGATAAAGATAGCATTATTCAGCATAAGTTAAGTTCTCTTATGTACTTTGGGATGGTCTATATTTGCCTCCAGCGCATTTTCTGAGGCACACGTCTGATTTCACAATCGGAGTGCAACTCCCACACGTCGTCAGAAGATGAAAACAGTCTAAGCAAAGAAAGGAAGTGTGCCGTTTAAAATGGAGTGGCCCAATATATATATGATTGTACATTACTTGTCTACCTATAAGTAAGAGTGATGTTTGTGAAGTTAGTTGCTAACGTCGCATACGCTTATGCGGCAGTTTCCGTGTGTTAGACTAGAGTATTCATTTATTAGACGGAACAACGACTTATCAAAAAGAATTTTGCTTTAGTATACAAATCTAAACCCGATAAGCCATAAAACAAGACTATAAATGATAATGAACTAGATGTCTGTTGCGTAAGGCACAAAAAGTATGCAAATACTGTATAAGAGCAACTTCAACTTTGCAAATCACTTGAAAACAATCAATCAATTTTCCAAGAAAAGTACCAAAAAGTGGTAATAATGGAATAACATACAACTGGAGTGGGAAAGTAAAATGAAGCGCAAATAAAAATAAAGATTAGAATTTTGTCCTATTAGTATCCCTAACGCATAATGAACAAAGTAATGCGCAACTTCAAATAGAAATAAACAGGAAGAAATATTTCAAAAAATCCTTGTTCCCTCACAGCCAATGAATATTACTGGAAACTAAAAAATGGAGGAACGCCTACAAACATCAATGATTTCAGAATATACAGACAAGCTCTACAGCTTGAACCAGAAAACTAGCACTTATCAAACAAGAAGGAAAAAAAAAACAAAACGAATCGTCCAAAGCCCCTCCTGGTAAATCACTAAAGAAAGAAAAGACAAATCTTATTAAAACAAACCATGCAGACATAAAGACAAAACAAAACATCAATACTCATCATACTTTCACTAATATCAAATATCTAATTTTTTCAAACTGGAATAATTAAATAAAAAAACTAGCAGCAAGAATTACGGTTGCAACATAAAGCAACACTTTAATGTGTACCTGTAAACAAACAAAAATAAAAAATTTGGAAAAAATAAAAAGTAAAAAACCGTAAAAAAAACAGATCTGATCACAAAGAACTCTATTTCAACAATCAACTGATCGACCACTCAAAAGCTACAAAAAGAAAGCACCTTCACCAGCATTAAAGATTCAATTGCTCAGTGGAAGACCACACATATTTACAATCACCGTAGAAGACAAATGAGACGTACACAAATAAATTAATCTGGTCTCATTTCCTTCTTTTTTTTCCCATTCTCTCCTCCCTTATCTTGCTACTTCAATTTATAGATAATACTCAAAGAAAAGTGAACTTTTAAAAGATTGAGAAATATAAGAGCAAAGAAACTAATTAGAGATTTGTATAAACCAAAGATAGGAAACCAAATGATGATGACTAAAATATGACGCCACTGCATACATCAGACATACCGTTTAAGCTTATAGCGTGAAAAAATGTAAAGATATTGGACCACAAAAAATTTAGTAGTAACTTAGTTGGAATAAAGTGATCGTGAGTCTGCATCCCCCTTGTGTGAACCAACTGAAAAAGCTAAAGGTACGTATTCAGCTTCCGAAGTTTCACTCTGGCTACGTCTCTTTTTACTACCATTACCTCCGTTCAGCATCTTCAGAGTTTCCCTGAGATCCTTAAAATCATAAAAAATATAGACAATACACGTGAAAAAGATGCACCAACCAATACACTTCAAAACTCCATAAACCAATTCACTCCGTTCAAGGTACTCCAAACTTAAAATAAAAGAGCAGTTCAAACAAAATGCTGTAAAAAAACTTCTACTCACAAAAACTGAAGGAAAAAGAAGAACCTAATACAACGTCTTTCGCCATCTACGTTCCACAACCAGCTTCAAAAAGATCGAAAAAAATACCAGTCCAGAACTTTAAATGTCAAACGTCTTTGTGCAACTTTTAGTCATAGACAGCAAAACCCATTAATTGTTTGAACTCTCGAGCTTTTTCAGTACAACCTCACCATAAAAGCAGTAAATTACATTCTCAAAATACTACTTCACTAAATTTTCGTTAAAAAAAAGGAAAAGCTCACCGGATTCCCCTGCACTGTTTTGCTAGGACTATTTAATTTACTATCGAGTAATGAAACACTTTCTTCAACATCTGGCCTTTGGTTTACGCCACTTGAGTCTTCAACAACTGGAGCTGGCGCCCTGTAAATCATTCTCATCAGAACCACAAACAAGAGCTATTTTGACCAATAATACAGATAAACTCAGAATCAATACAACAAGCAAAACGACTTCGCCCTTCCCCTATTTCCACACTTAACAGAAAAAACCGTGCCTTAACAAAATTTTGAAAAAACAAATGGTCTCAAAACGTAAGTGACCCACAAGAGCAAAAAAACTATTCAGATGTCTGGACTAAACTTAATTATCAAGCGACAGAGCAAACACGATAGCAGGTTAACACCTTTTCAGCAGCGTGAAAAACAAGTTCGATTAAACACAGCCAATATCATTATTGTATCATTATAACAAGACCAAAAAAGTTTACTTAGGCGGTGTACCACAGACTAAGCAATCATTCGCTATGAGTGAAGCCTAACAATTCACCTCTTCGACATCAAAGTTATTATGCTTTCATTCTCAAATATTAGTTGTGCGTAAAAAAGCAAGTTTTCAATGAAAAAAAAAAACCGCAACCACCAAACTCCATCAGCTGCCTATCAAACATTTCAAAAGCCATCCTCAGTCTTAGCTACACGTTTACATAACGAAATACGTCATGGCTGTCCGCACATGGGACAAATCATTTCAATAAGTCGTGCTAATCCATTGTTAGATAAACCGCTGCACTCATATCCATCATGCTTCAGTCCGGCACCAACATTCACAGAAGACTAAACCACTGAGGTGTTGTGCAAAAAGAAAACAAACACTTATCAACTAACGAGCTAGCCAGCCTTCTGGCTACGACGACTAAGAACTGTCGATTCAGCATACGATTTCCCAGCCCTTTAGTGCATAAAGAAGTCCTCCTCTCGTCAAAAACAACAACCTGCTCTTTTTTCTTGTT